ATGGAGGTGCTCAGTAAATTTCAGTCTCTATCTTTTGCTGTTTGCTTTAAGGTTTTCTATCAGAGTTAGCAAACATTGTGGTTTGCCACAAGAGGGCAATGTGAAATGGAAATAAAAATCTATGCCTAAACAACAACAAAATTCCCAAACCCCAAAACTATTCCTAATTCTATGTCTATGTCTATCTCTATGTAGCCCTAGCTCTAGCTTAATCTCCTTTTCTTCTTTGGGTAAACATAGTTAGTTGATGAGGATTTCATGCTTAGAATTCTGTTTTCTTTCTTCATCTTGTTCTTCAGAAATCTGTCATCATCATAAAATCTTAGCTCTAGAAGGGACTTCAGAAGTCATATTGTCACCTGGAACAGATCCACACTCTGTAGTTATTCCGGCTCTTCCTTGGTGATCTCCACTTGCTGCTCTCATGGCCCTTCTGGGAAGCTGCACTCTACACCTCGAGTGTTAGTGATGCACATCTCTCCCCCTGACACCTCCTCTTAGTGGCACTAACTGTACCTCCAGCTGAGCATGGGAAACTAAGACTATTGCATTCATTTTAGAAAAACACTTCTGAGTCATAAAGGCTCAAACAATGGAGAATTACTTACGTTGGATTCATGACAACAGTGGAAAGGAAGATGGGAAGAGTTGTATGCGTTTGAGGGGAGTTCTTTATTTTATTTTTAGCTGCAAAAAAATAATGTTAGCAGGTCACATAGACTGCTGTCACTAGTGATATGACATGTATACTATCCCATCAGAGAATGCAACATCATACATCAACCAATCTGACATGAATTGTGTGGGACCAATAGATAGATAGATGATAGATAGATAGATAGATAGATAGATAGATAGATAGATAGATAGATAATGCTTTAGGATAGGGCAGAATAAACAATACTGCTACGAATGGGCTCCATTCGAATTTCCTTTTTCTGTTAGCAGAAGGCTATCTTAGAAAAATCTCTTGATTAAAAACTTTTTGTAGGCCCAAATGATTTTAAAAACAATCAGATTCTTATGTTTTCTTTGCTTCTCTCTGTTTAAAATATGTTTTTATTGATTTCAGAGAGAGGAAGGGAGAGGGAGAGAGAAAGAAACATCAATGATGAGAGAAAACTATTGTTCGGTTGCCTTCTGCACACCCCGTACTGGGGATCAACCCAGGCATGTGCCCTGACTGGGAATCAAACTGCAACCTCCAGAGTCGATGCTCAAACAGTGGGCCACACTGGCCAGTTTCTTTGCTTCTGTTATTAATAATTAAATCATCTAAATGAAATAAGTCAGGCACAAAGTTACAGATATTGTATGATCCTACTTATATGAGGTACCTAGAGTAGTCAAATTCATAGAGACAGAAGGTAGAATAGTGGTTACCAGGGACTGCAGGGAGGAGGGTATTGGAAGTTGTTATTTAATGGGCACTGAGTTTCAGTTAGAGAAGATAAACACGATCTAGAAATGAATGGTGGTGATGGTTGCGCAACAGATGGTTGCAGTCTCAGAATCTGAGACTGGGAAGCCCAAGTCTACAAAACTAAAAAGTAAAAATAACCCAAGAACTTCCATGCATATATGCATAACCCATGAACAGACAGTAGTGAGGTACAGGCCTGGGAAGGGGGCAGGAGCAGGGTATAGGGGGTTAATTGGGGCATCTGTAATACTTTTAACAATAAAGATAAATTAAAAAGTAATAACAACAACCCAAGAATAACACTTATTGAGCATATATTGAGCACCAGGCTTAAGTGCTAGGTGTGATCTAGGTCAAGGAAAAGGTTTGAGGCAGGTTTACAAATATCATATATTGGTTTACTTTCCCCAAATCACTATTTTGCTCTTTACAGGAAACAAACAAAGCCCCACACATCCCATTTCAGAATTAAGAAAACAAACACATTTCTCTGTGCCTGTAACCAAGCCAAAGAGTGTGTCAGCCAATAGTATTTGAGAAACTCACTGTGCGGCTGGCAGGGCCACGTATTATAAAGTGGAAATTTTCTGGAGAGGCTACATTTGAATCCATTAAAAAAAATTTGCCTTTGTAGAGACTCTTTTGTTTAGAAAGCCTATTTTCAGAAAGAATCTGGTTCAGTTATTATGGTGGGAAAAATAATACATAAAAACAACAGTTCAAAACCAACCATAAATCTACCTCAAAGCAAAACTATTTCTGGTGTCTCTCAAGTAGCTGAGTTAATGTGGCATAAGACAAAGCCTGACAAGCAGGTATAATTAAAGGATGAATCACAGGGCTAAGTCATGGGTAACTCTGAAAGTGCCTACAGGGAAAACAGTTCATTATAACACAGTAAACTTTAGAGGTTAAAGGATGAAGGGTGGGAGGAAAAATCTTTTTTTTCCACGTGAATGCAATGATAGGTTCCAGTGGAAACATATTGATAATGGCATCAGCACATTATTGGTGCAGAGACTATTCTGCCTCGTGTGATATGGGTATTCTTTCTCTCTGTTTTCTCTTCCGAGAACTGCTAGGGGTCAGGTACCAGGCTTTGCTTTATTTATCTTCCTATATTCTCTGCCCAGAGCCTGAAAATGTAGACAGGAGGTATAAAACACGCAATTACACACATGAATGGGTAAAGGATTACCCATTCCTTAGAATCCAGAATAAATCTGTCCTACACTTTTAAAGAAAAATGAAAATTGATATGCAACCTAGTCAATGGTGCTTACCAAAGATTGTTGATGTGCGTTTTCAAAGAATTAATCACAGGACTTTTATTTAATGAAAAACAGGAAGGGGTTATTATATTTTATCCAGCTTCATATCGCAGCCACTGGCATTGGATTCAGTTTCTTGGAACGGCAACCTGGCAAGAGTTGAAAGGAAACTATTTATTTGGCCTGATTGCTATTTTGTCTTTTGGCTATATGATGACTAGATGTAAAAACTCAGGTGGAAAACGGCTCCTCTGCTTCTGTAGCTCCATTAACTGACCAATACCAGCATGGTTACTCTCCCCCACCCCCTCCCCAGCACATACCAGATAAGGGGGGTTTAACTGACAGACACAAGTTAGACATTTAGCATGAAAGTGATTGGCCATTCTCCCAATAATTTGAGGTCTAACCATCCAGGAAGATCTTTAAGTCTATTTTTTTTCCCTGGCTCAGAAAAGTTTAACTCAACTATACTGTTTACATCATCTTATCTCTTAGTTTAAGGTTTATGTGCTACTTTTAATGTTTATGTGTACTTAAAAAAAAACCCCACTATTTGGAACTCAAGTCTTGACAGTCTCTGAAACTTAATTGGGAAAAATGTCAAGCACTTTAATGGAATTTTTCCCATGATCTGCAGAAGAGTTCTGTGTTTTTTTTTTTTTTTTTTTTTTTTTTTTTAACAGATGGTTCAAATGGACAAAGCAGCGAAGACAGAAATTAAAAGCAGATTCTTAAGAAAAATAACTGGTTCTCAGAAATCCTAGAGATGATGGCAGGACTGGAGGTAACACAGCAGTCTCTCTTGCTGTCAAGCTCTGGAGAGAACAGATATTTATTAGGTGAGCCCCTACCAGAGGTGGGGGAGCGGCCTCTCGGTGGGAATTAGCTATTCATTTAGAACTCCGGCCAACTTCAACTATTCCAGAGTCTTCCCGCTCTAGGGCAGTTTCATCCCATCCAGGTGTCCACACAAGCTATAGTGGTAGGAGGCCAATAGGTTTTCTCCTAGATAGGACCATCTAAGTCCTAGGTGGCTCTTCCGGGTATGGGGGAAGACCTAAAATCTTCCCACCTTCTCAACAACTTGGAAAAACAACTCTACACAGCCCCCGGCTTCTTCTGAAGCTTTCGTTTTGAATAGAAAAGCCCTGACTTTTCTTGGATCAATGAAGTGTGCGGTGGGAAAGAGACAGGAAAACTTTTCAATCTCCGGTGTCTATGCTTTTGTCTACCAGTGTTTCCCAAACTTTTGACATAGGTGCACCCCTTCTGTAATATTCGTAACGCTGAGGACCCCTCGTGCTCATGAGAACGTAGAATTAGGCGCAGCTAAGCTCGGTGCAGTGCATATCCCCACCAAACTCCGGTACAGCAACGCGTACCCCCACCAAACTCTTCCCGCACCCCTGGGGGTACGCGTACCACACTTTGGGAAACCCTGAACCAATGCTTTCGAGTAGCATCTTCCAACTAGGCTTCCCCATGTTCTCTCCAACTTTGGGGACAGGGAATGCTGGCTTGTATCCCCGAGGAGGAGTCCAGGGAGAGGGTGGGGGGTCCGAGGGGCAGAAGAGAGCTACGCTGGGGGTTTGAGAACCTCCTGTGGAGTGGGGGGACCCCGAAGAACTGTCGCCACGGAGACTGCCCGGAGCCCAGCGGGGGGTGTGGGGCAGGGTGACCGCCCAGGGCGCAGGCTGGGAGTGCAGGGCGGGCGGGGCGGGGGCAGGAGGGTGAGCGGGAGGAGAAGGGGCGGGGTGGCGGGGTGGGAGCGCGGAAGCGGGGGAGGGTCCCGGAGCCCGGGTCCCATTCGCGGCGAGCGCTCTGAGCCTGCGTCCGCGGAGGCGGGGAGGGCTGGCCCGGCGGCGCCCCCGGCTCTCAGCGCACACTCGCCCCTCCGTCCCGGGATCGGGGATCGGAGCTGCCGGAAGTGTGTGCGGGCCGGAGGCAACTTTCCTGCTCCCGCCGCGGCCCGGAGCCTCCCGCCTCGCCGCCGCAGCGACCATGCGCCGCCAGGGCGACACCCTGAGCGGACCCGCGCCTCGGCCCACCCCCGGCGCCGCCCGCGCCCGCCTCGCCCCCGGGGCGCACTGAGTCCCCTCCCTCCCCTGTGCCCCCCGCGATCGCGCGCCACGGGAGCCCGGCGCCCACGGCGGGGCGCGCGGGGCCCGCTTCCTCCGCGCAGTCCCCCCGCGTCCCGGCGCGGCCCCCGCCCGGACCGCCGGCCCCGGCCCCCGCCCGCCCCCGCCCTGAGCGCCGGGGGCCAGTCCGTCCGGTCCCCCGCGGCCGCGGGCAGCGCCGGGGCCATGGGGCTGCCCACCCTGGAGTTCAGCGACTCCTACTTGGACAGCCCGGACTTCAGGGAGCGCCTGCAGTGCCACGAGATCGAGCTGGAGCGGACCAACAAGTTCATCAAAGAGCTGATCAAGGACGGCTCCCTGCTCATCGGGGCGCTGCGGAGTGAGTGCGGCGGGCGCGGGAGGGTGGGGAGGGCCGGGGGTCCGGGCTGACCCCGCGGGGCGCGGGTCCGCGGAGCTGGGAAGGAGGAGACGGGCTTCTTTTGTTTGAATGGGTTTGGGGACAAAAGCTGAAGAGCTCCCCTGCCGGTGGCCGACAAAGTTTGTTCTGGGTGTTCCGGCCTTCCCTCCACGCCACAGAGAAGGGGCAGCGCTCACCGGGACACTGGGATGGATCCGGAGTGAAGTTGTGCAAAAGCCAGCTTTTTGTATAACGGGCCTGGGGGGGGAAAAAAAAAGTTGGGGACTGTTGGCCTTTAAAAAATTTATTTTTATTGTTATTATTATTATTATTATTATTATTAATTTGAGCACTTTAACAATAATCCTTAAGGAAGGATTCAAGAGTTTGTCTTAAGGCTGAGCAGAGCTCATCTGTTTGGTGGTATTCAAAGAATATGATTCATTCCCTATGTATATCAGTGGCTCTTCCCTGGGCACCATCATTTTGAGTTGGCTTTAAAAAACAAACACACACATGCATTTGTAATTTGTGGCGATACTGGTGTGAACAGACCTACAGCGCTACTGGTCCTATAAAAGGAAGATGATGGAAGACCACATGGACCAGTGGATTTTATCTCATGACAAGTTTTTACAAGCATCCCAATGTGGGGTTTGCATTGTAAATCCGGTGACGGTGGAGTCGCTGAAGGCCAGTCAGAATCTCTGATCCTCCGAAGGAGGAAAGCATGCCCTCAGGGGCTTCTGCCACCTCCCATCCCACACCCAGGAACTGGATCTGCACTTTGAATTACTAGGACCTGAGGAAAAGACACTCATAGTTACATCTTAATTGAAGCTTCGGAGAGCCTTAGCCAATGAGCAGAAGTACTGGTATCTCTGGCCTCTGATGGCTGGCGTAGTGTTTTCATCAAGTGGGGAGGCCTGTGGGTGACCCAGCAATCTCTAAGACAAATATAGGGGAAGCATCATTGTATAGGTCAAGTACAAGGTCAGTCACAACCTGGGGGAGGTGTATGTGTGTCAGAAAAAGGCAACACTAGTATCTGATCTGTATTGTGAAGCACATGTTAATAATCCCAAGGATGGAGTTCAGCAAAATGTATTGAAATTAGCCCGCCTCGGGGTGGCTCAGTGGTTGAGCGTAGACCTATGAACCATAGGGTCACAGCTCAGTTCCGGGCCAGGGCACATGCCAGGGGTTGCAGGCTCCATCCCCAGTGGGGGGCATGCAGGAGGCAGCTGATCACTGACTCTCATTATTGATGTTTCTGTCTCTCCCTCTCTCTGTGAAATCAATAAGAATATATTTTCAAAATTTATTGAAACCACTGTGCTTCCAAATCCTTTTTTCCTTTCATCATCCCAAATGCTAGCACATTTACTTATCCCTTACGTTACTTAACCGGGTAAGAGAAATATGTTTTATGCCCACATTCATTCAATTTCTGAAGCTGAGTCTACTGCTGCTAACAATATTTACTGATTTGTGAAAAATATAACTTATCTGCCTTCTTCCCATCCTGCGTATAGACAGATGCGGGCCCTCCCCGCTTCCTTTGGGTTTGCGAATCCTGCTGGAGTTCTTGGGACTAGCCTCCTTGTCGCTTAGCAGTGGCTCTCAACCTTTCCAATGCCGCTACCCTTTAATACAGTTCCTCATGTTGTGGTGACCCCCCACCCATAAAATTATTTTCGTTGCTACTTCATAACTGTAATTTTGCTACTTTTAATGAATCATAAATATCTGTGTTTTCCGATGATCTTAGGTGACCTTGCCAGCGATTCATTAACAGCAGCAAAATTACAGTTATGAAGTAGCAACAAAAATAATTTAATGATTGGGGGTCACCACAACATGAGGCACTGTATTAAAGGGTAGCGGCATTAGGAAGGTTGAGAAGCACGGCTCTTTAGAGAGCATGATGCCTCTTCAAAATGTTTCCCCACCTCAGAGGGCTAAAAGCCGGGCCAACTCTCGCTGGAGGTGCCAAAGGATCTACAAATGACATTTCAATTCTCTGCTGGAGGTCAGTGTTAGTGTTTCAAAAGTTGACAATCCTTACATTACTGTGGTTACTAGTTATTTTCCTAGTAACATTGTGTGCTTTATTATGATTTTTGAATCTAGCCTTGCAGAAACCAGGTGATTTCCGTTCTTCCAGATCCGTTCTTCCCTTCCTAAGGGAAGAAATCTTTTTTTTTTTTTTTTTTAAATATATTTTATTGATTTTGTACAGAGAGGAAAGGAGAGAGATAGAGAGTTAGAAACATCAATGAGAGAGAGTCATCGATCAGCTGCCTCTTGCACACCCCCTACTGGGGATATGCCCGCAACCAAGGTATATGCCCTTGACCGGAATCGAACCCGGGACCCTTCTGTCCCCAAGCCGACGCTCTATCCACTGAGCCAAACCGGTTTCGGCAGGGAAGAAATCTTGAGTGCAAGTTTCAAGAACGAATAGACCCTGCCTTGTGACTTTGGCCTTACGCACTCAACTATACAACCTGCTGTCTTTCTAGGATCCGTAGATTTGTGGTGGGAGTGCATTATAATCATGTGCTGTAAGCAGCATTTCGGACAGCAGCAGTGGGGCCAGAGGTTATAAAGGAGATGGAAAATTCCTATGGTTGGTGACGTAAAGTTGTAGCGTGGCGCATTCCTTGCCTGTCTGTGGGGATTCTGGTGCGATCAAACCTACTGCGCTGCTGGTCCTATACAAGGAGAGCACAAATAATTATGTGCAGGACATAGCACATGATAATAAATGACTGCATTACTACCCCGTTTCCCCGAAAATAAGATAGTGTCTTATATTAATTTTTTCTCTCACAGTTGCTCTAGGTCTTATTTTCAGGGGATGTCTTATCTTTCCATGTGCTAGGTCTTATTTTCGGAGGATGTCTTATTTTCGGGGAAACACGGTAGTTTATGTATTTACTGCACAATAGCTTTTGTCCTATTTCAGACTGTACGCTTTGTACTTAAATGAAAATTTGCTGCAAAATAGAATGCCATGTAGCACCAGCTTCATGTAGCTCCTGTTTATCGTGTCTCTGGAGTGCATATTGTCTCTTGTACTTGATTTAATCTCACGTGGCTTTATAAATTTAGTGCAGCTTAAGAGTACAGTGTTTGTAGTCTGTGGTGGTGTACAGTAATGTCCCGGCTTCTCATTCACTTACCACTCACTGACCCACCCCAAATGATTTTCAGTCCTGCAGGCTCCATTCATGGTAAGTGCCCTATACATATGTAGCATATTTTATCTTTTTTAAAATCCTCACCCAAGAATATGTTTTTATTGATTTTAGAGAGAGAGGAAGGGAGAGAGAAACATCGATGCCAGAGAGAAACATCCATTAGCTGCCTCCTGCACTTTCAGGATCGAACCCAAGACCTGGGTATGTACCCTGAGCAGGAATCAAACCCATGACCCTTTGGTTCATGGGCAATGCTCCAACCAACTGAACCACACTGGCTAGGACCCATTTTTATCTTTTATACCATATTTCTACTGTACTTTTCTGTGGTTAGATAAACACATAAAGTGTTCAAATTGCCCACAGCATTTAATACAGCAACATGCTGTACTGGTTTGTAGCCTAGAAGCAACTGGCTATATTATATAGCTTAGGTGTATTGTAGGCCATACAATCTAGGTTTGTGTGAGTACAGATGCTCACACAATCTATAATAATAAGAGCATAATATGCTAATTAGACCAGACGTCCTTCTGGATGACCTTCTGGGACGACCTTCCAGATGAAGCCGGGGCTGCAGGAAAGCCCGGGTCCTGGGTGCCTGCAGGTGGTGGGAGGGAAGCCTGGGTCCTGAGTGCTGGGGAAAGGAAGGCCTACTCCTGCAGGAATTTCGTGCATTGGGCCTCTAGTAATGAAATAAAAATCTAATGATGCATTTCTCAGAATATTTCTCTGTCGTTAAGCAAAGCATGGCTGCAATGCACCATTTGATTATTCCTTCTCTCATTGTGGAAGGAAAGCATTTTATTCCCTGGTAATAGAATTCCCCGCCTCAGCTGCCAAATAGGAAAGATTTGGAGCAGAGGAACCCTTGAAGTCACATGATGGCACTGGTTTTTTTCCCACCGAGCCACCTTCTGGCCCTTGGGGAGGATGCCCCGAGGCTGGGCTGCAGCTGCTGACTGCCTGCTGTCTGGAGTTGCCAAGTCAGTGCAGCCTGCTTAGGAGGGAGCCCTCCTTCCCCCAGCCTGCCCGCTCTGACTGTTTTCCCTTTCTGTCTCAGAAAGCCTTCACCTTCTCTATCTTGAAACCAAGCCTTTTCTTCTCTATATCTACTGATTCAGTAGTGTTTCCATGATCCTTTTCAGGTTTTTTTTTTTTTTTTTTTTTTTTTTAAAAGTACTTTGCTGTTGTTTTCATTAACAATTAATGGTTTCTTACTATAACTTTCTTGTACAATCAGCACATTTCTAGGCATCTGCTATTATTTTCATCTTAGTTAATAACTTTTCTGGTGAGAATGTTGGCATGCACTTTTGATTAATTCATGCATGACTGCTCCAGTAGGAGTTATATATGTTCTTTGATCTCTGATTCACGATGTAAGGTGTCTTTGGTGGAGTATTTACAAGGATCCTTATAAGTGTAGACCTTAAGAAGATGATTTCCATTTCAAATATATCTAAGATACTTGATATATTTTCAAGTGAGTGAATGCATTTCATATTCACATCTAGTCTTGGGGAAATGGTGACAGTTTATTCAGTGGATTGACATAGGCCTGAGTTTAAGTTCTGGTGCTGTCCAATGCTGTGTGATAATTAGGAAGTAACTTATCTTCTCTGGGTCCTACCTTTTCTGTAAAATGAGGGAACATCTATAAAAATCTTACCGCTAAGATTATTTGTTCATTTCATTACAAGTCACATGACCATTTGGTGAGTGATATGTGAGAACATTTGATACTGAGTGAACTGGGTTTTAGTTCATGCTGTA